AAACAATGTGCTGTTAAACATTACATGATGGATTAAAAAGTTTGTTTAGAGGTTGGCTTTTGTTTGTGTGACAGAAGTTTCCAATTGAAGAAATTTCACCCTGGCTTTCTTAATTTAGTGACAAAAATGGTTCCCTGATGATTGTAGAAGTAGACGAGGGTTAAATTGAAAGACGTTTTCTTTGAAGACTTTTGCTTGTAGGTCAGAATTTGGTAGAAGATATTGCTTCTTGTTGAAATTGATGGGAAATGCAGAAAATGCTGCTTGTTTTTGGTGTTTATAAACTTTCAAAGAGGAGACACAAAACTATGGCTTTGCTAAACGGGTTTGATGTGCAAATTGTGATAGGATAAAATATTGTGACTAGTATCCCAGAAAAAGAAAATTTTCTGTCTCCATGAAAATATTTTTTTGGTGACAAAATGGCAATTACGGCAAGTACTTGTGCTTGCCATGCTCAGGCTCAGTGCTGGGGGGAGGTTGCCTCCCTCGCCCCCCACGTCATTTCTTGTGACCGAGTTTCATTCTTGTGAATGTACTCCTATGTAGGATGCTTAGTGCATTAGATATTGCACTTCATGGGCAGGCCATATTGTCCATTGTAAGAGATGAGTGTCTGACTTTGCCTTGACTACACTGTTTATAAGCTCCTCCAATGTCTTTGGGTCTCTTCAGTTTGCTGGTCCATTGTAAAGTAATATTCAAGTTCGCTTGTGCTAAAGTTTCCACGTGTATGATTGGCTATTTTGAACAAGTTCTCACTAGTGGGTGCATTGGACTGACTGCCTTTTATTATTGTCTCTATTGAATCTTCCTTAAGTGGAGAAGTCCATCCTTAAATATTTATCTCTTCTAGCCAGTCAAACCATTAGCTGGTCCATTACTTTTTCTCTGACTAGAAGTGAAGTTATAGTTCTCTAAACATTACACGACCTTAGTTGAACAAGATCTATTCTATAGGTTGTACAAGTGTTTCCTTGAGCTCTAAAGTTCTCTAAACATTACAAAGTTGGGGGTATTACTTCATCCGGTCAAATATATTCATTGCATGTATCTTTTTCTTATGTTTCATTGATTGCACTTCCTATAATTGTGTTTCTTAAAAAGATCCATTTGGCAGATGACAACAGCAATATCAATTGAAGATGTTCGGAGAGAGGTGAAAATATTGAAGTCTTTATCTGGGCATAAGCACCTTGTAAAATTTCATGATGCATGTGAGGATGCCAATAACGTTTACATAGTCATGGAGTATGTCTTTTCTCATTTTCCTTTTCTTATCATTCTGGATTTCGAAATGTTCTTGATTCTTGTTTCCTTTTATTTCATTTCTCTATTATACAATTGCAACTCATCATGTACATACATGAATAATGTCTCAATTTTTGTTGTTTGAAGTTTTTGGATCTATCCATTTTTTTTGAACAAGAAACAAACTTTTCATCGATTATATGAAAAGGGAGAAAAAAGTTCAAGGATACGAGCTCCAAAAGGAAGTAAAAAAAGAATAAGAAAAACAAACAGAACATTGAAACCAAAAATCCATGAAAAAGATGAGATCTGAAGCTCAAGAACAGATGTTGAAAAACTGTTATCAATAAAGCTTGCCAATTCAAAAGGACTGCTTGCTGAGGAGGAAACCAAAACAATCACTTAACACAAGTTGATCGCCAGAAGTAAAGAAACTGAAACCTCCCTCCACGAAGAGAAGACACGAAAATGATAATATCTCAACCCTCAAAATTGTTGCGAAGCGGAACCAACCAAAAAACCTGTCGTGCATAAATAAAGCCTACCTATTTAGTGATTGGAACTAGGGTAAGGCCTATAGCTTCAAAAAAATTTTTTTTTTGGGTGAAGAAACAATTTCATTGATATGTGAAATTACAAGTGCCCATGATGGGATTACATAAAGCACTTTCAATTAGTCAAAAGGGAAGTATAGCTATAGTAGTGAAAAATAGGCGATTTTTTTACACCAAATGACTACTTTGTAAACTATAGCATCAAAAAACTTCTTGAAAGGTTGCGATTTATCGTTGAATGTCCTCTGATTTCTTTCTCCCCACTTAGTCCAAAGAAAAACTTGCACAAAGTTCAACCAAAGCTTTTCATTTTCGTTTTTGAAAGGGTGACCAACTAGGGTGGCCTCAAGGAGCAAATGGGGATCATTATGAAGAACTGTGGTCCATCCAAAGGTGTTGAGAATGGACCTCCAAAAATCAGAAGCAATGGTGCAGGCGGTAAAGAGGTGTTGTTGTGTTTCCGAGCTGGCCTTGCAAATAGTGCACCAATGGGGAGATAAAGCCACGTAGGGGAGCCTCCTTTGGAGCTTGTCATTAGTGTTGATGGCACAGTGGCTGAGTTCCCATAGAAAAAACTCACTTTTTTACGGCAAAGGTCCTTCCAAATTGCTTTGTATAACTAGAACGAGAAGGTTGGTTTTGGTGAGTGAGATCCTTAATGAGGGAGCATGTGGAGAAAGAACCATTGGCCTCCAAATTCCCTTTCAGCAGAGAGATGCACTTGTGTGAGTTGGAAACTGAGAGCTGCCCATTCTATAATTTCTGCATCCTTTAGGTTCCATCGAATACTCAAATTCCAGCATGATGAAGATTCCATCTAGAAACCACAAATGGGAGCCTCCTTTTTCGATGACAATGCAGAAAGCAGGGGGAATGTTTGTTCCAAGGGCTGGCCGTTCAACCAAGGGTGCTTCCAAAAAGAAATACTCTTGCCATCTTCGACTTTATAAGCCCTAGTCGAAAATCAGATTTGTGTATTTAAAATAGCTTTCCAAGGACTTTTAGCATAGGGGAGTGATGTACAGATGGGTCTATGGTTCCAAGAGGCTTTGCCATATTTTGCCTCGATCACATTCTTCCAAAGGGCTGTTTCCTCCTTGATATATCTCCAATTCCATTTTGCAAAGAGGATTCTGTTTTTTAGTTTCATATTAATAATCCCAAGGCCTCCTTGAATTCGTTGTTGTGTAATGGCTCTTTTGACAAGACAAAGGCCTTTGTTCTCCCCATTGAGCTTCAAAAAAAAAACTTTGATTATCTTTTTTTTTGATTACCCAGGAGTCGACGACCACCCTTTAGCCTTCATGCCCCTATACCTGGGGTATGCGCACTGTCCCTATACTCGTACATACGCAAGGGGTCATTTCTTGCTGGAGTTGCGTTCCAATGTGACTTGAACCTAAGACCTCAAGGATATTCCTTGAGACCCCAAGCCACCCAAGCTATCTCTTGGGGACAAAAAAAACTTTGATTATCTGCGAAAGAAGCTTTTTCGACTATCAAAAGGAGGAGAAGGAATGAAATCCATTTTTGCAGACAAGTGTAATTAATTATCCTCTACAAAAAGTAAATTAAATTCCTTTGTTAGGGAAACCTCTGATAAATCTTCATTAACAACCTCTTGCTCTTCCAAAAATTGTGCTGAATCTTCACTATTGACACTAACATTGAAATCTTCTTCATCGTCAGACAAAACGTTATCCTTGATATGTAAATTTGACTGCTCACTTGTTGAATTCATGATACCATGGTTGAGAGGTGAAACGCCTTTGAACCCTCCTCTTTCCTTTGCTAACCTCGGTGAGTCATTCTTTCCTTTTGGATCTATCCATTATAGCATGCATTTCCTGCGATGTAGTAGGTCACGATGGATTTTGAAATAAACAAATTTGGATAATCTTCTCTCTCTTTTTAATGAGTAATCGAGATTTCATTGAGAAACATGAAAGAATACAAAGGAATATAAAGATCAGTTCAACAAAAGGAGTCTGAACCTAAAGGAGGGGCCTCCCATCCAAAAAATAACACCTAACTAATAATGATAAAAATCTCTAGAAACGGAAGCCCATAAAGAGGTGTTAAAATGAACCAATATCCGACACCTTCACTCAAGATCTTTCAATTCCCCTAAAATTCTGTTACTTCTCTCAATCCAAATGTGCTGTAAGGAGGCTTGACAAGCCTGTCAAAGGAATCTGCCCTTCTCTCAAAAAGGAGGATGCTACAAAATCTCCTCTAACATTGACCCTGATAATCTTGTGCAATAGATGAGGAATCGTGTAGCATTCTCTTTCTTATTTCTGAGATGAATGAGTTTGGAATCTTTGGATAATCTGATATTGTGGATGAGCAACAAAATGATAAACCATTTTAATCTTTCTTATGCAGTTCAGTAAAGGAGACACTTTTTATTTCGATTTGAAGTATATTGTTTTTAATTCCATTTTAGGTTATGTGAAGGTGGGGAACTTCTAGACAGAATTTTGTCAAGGTACTCTTTCTTTTCAATGATATATTGCGTTATCTTTGACTGAATAAATTTATACTGAAGTATAATTTCCGTCATTGTAGAGGAGGAAGATATGCAGAGGAAGATGCCAAAAATATAGTTGTTCAGATTTTAAGTGTAGTTGCGTTTTGTCATCTTCAAGGCGTTGTGCATCGTGACTTAAAGCCTGAGGTCTTTTCCTTTTGTGTTCCATTGACTTGTCTCCTTTTTTTTTTTTTAAGGGAAAATAAAATTAGTTGTTTCTTGAATTGAAGTTTAAGTTCTTCAACTGGTCTTTAGCTTTCAGCAAAAAATTTTTGCAACTAAATTCTAGAAGCTTCTATCATACTACCCTTCCCTCTTACTGTTTCGTTCCGTGCAGTATGCATGAGTTGCTATTTTTCCTTGCAAGATCTAGGATTTTATCTTACAACAAAGAACAAGCTAAACTTCTACAGTTTCATGCCATTACCATAGCTAATTGGGTGATTTGGTTAGAAAGTAATCAGATATGTGTGTTTGTGATACTTGTGAAGTATGATTGCATTGTACTCAATTCTTTAATTCATGCCAATCAAAGGGCTTCTTGATAATAACCACCCTCCACCAAAAAAAAAAGGAAAAAGAAAAAAAAAATAGAATGGTTGTTTCTTGTGGTTCATTCTGTCTTTTTCTTTCTGATTTTTGCCTTCCATTTGTATCTTATGTTATTAACTTGTCTCTCATATGTTTGGCAGAATTTCCTATTTACCTCTAGAAGCGAAGATGCTGATATGAAGCTCATCGACTTTGGTCTCTCGGACTTTGTTAGACCAGGTAACAGATCTATCTTATTGTTTAATAATGTAACCGTTTAGTTGTTACCTAAATGAATTTTGAAGTTTGGATGGCTGTAGTAGGCTCCTGTGAACTCTCTGTTATGTTAACAAAAATAAAAGTAAGGAATATTTGAATAATTTTGATTGAAGAAAGTGAAAGAAAGTAGCGAGACTAGAATATTCTTATTGGAACAAAGTTTTCCAGCTTATCTGCATTTGCTACTCTAAATAAATAGTTATCTATTTACTATTTAGAGGCACTATTTCAAACCTCCATGCCTTGCGTTCCCTCGGATTTACTATCTTTCACAAAAGAAGCTTCTCTCAGTGGCTGAGTTTATGAGTCCTAGGGGGTGGTTAAACCCTTTTCTTTAGGGGGTTCCCTCTTGCAGAACTGTTTTTTTGTATGCCCCTCTTGTTTTTGTATCTATTTTCATTATTCTCAATGAAAGCATGGTTTCTTATCCAATATATATATATATATATATATATATATAGTTATCTATTTTGAGCTTCTTGGAGAAAAGCCGTTTAAATTACATATGCTGAAAGGAAGGTAAAGGGTGTTTAACATGCATGACTGGTTTGTTAAGCTGGAATTGTGTAACTTCTGCAAGGGGTAGGTTAGGTGGGCCTTGTAGGTAAAGTTAGTTATGTTAATATGTTGTTAGTGATGTAATCATGAGCAGGCCTTAGAGAAGTGAATTAAGAAAAGTAAATAGGAGAGCTCTCAGACCTTTCAATTTGTCAAAGTTTCGCATTTTCTTCCTTATTTTGGCCGTACACACTCTTATGTCAATTGGTAGATCTCTATCTTGGGTATGTCAAAGGGAGTAAATGGATTATAGAATGGTAACCTGTAGCTAAGCTGAAAGTTGCGGCAGATGAGGTTCAAAATATTCTGACGATAGAGAAAGTGTATAGCCTGTTGCTTGAGGTGTTAACCATCAGCTGCTGAAGGGTCATGAGCTAATAGAACAGGTGTTATTAGAACCTCTGCATCAAAAGGTAATGATAAAGGGAAGTAGATCATACGAAAGGGAGATTGAAGGAAGAGTGAAGAATCCTATGAGGTAAGGAGGGAGGGCAAGCCCTTGCTCTTTGTTTCCTCATGTGTATCATTTATCCCCGATGACGAATTAATCAATGTCTTCTGTCTAACCCTATTTTTGGACTTCTTCTTCCCCTACTTTTGATTTTGGTCGTCCTTTATCTGATAGGGAAATGACAGGTATTTTGGCTCTCTCATCTTTGGTTGAGGTCTTCTCTATTTTCCAGGGAGAGGGGACATTTTTTTGTGGGGTCCTAGCCCTTCTCAAAGGTTTTCCTTTTTCCCTTAAACTTCGACCATTACATTAAAAGAAACCTAGCTCACAAGGTGCAACAACTCGCCTTCATCCCTTACCTGGATTCTTCATCTTAAGAAGTTTCTTGATAACCTGTAAGAAAAATTTTCATGAAAAAAAATGAATGGGGATAAAAGATATTCCTACTGCTTCAACATAATACATATGGAGGAATTGAGTGTTCAGCAACTTCCTTACTTGAAATTCTATCATCAGAAGGCAGACCAACAAACTTTCCTTGCTCTTGAACAGAAGGGAGGTCAGCGAGCTCTTTGACCAAACCAAATAGAATCTTAAAATCTTCTTCAAAAGAATGGTTCGAAAGGTCTTCAAGAAAATTTGTTTGATCTTCCAAAAAAGGTGTTGAATCTGCTTATAATATTGAAACCATCCGAATCGAAATTGTCCATTTGGTTTTTCCTTGAAACTTCATTGGTTGACCTAATAATAGCACGCTGAATAACCATGAAATTAGGGTTTTCCTTTCCATCCAACGGAATTTCCAAAGCTGCTTTTTCAAAATCTTTCTCCTGTAGTCCATCTCCCTCGGTAATAATCATCTCCGAATTTATTGTGGAAATCAATTCTACTTTATTAGAGGAGTCTGCTTGCACATCAACGGTCTTATTTGTTGTCATTCTCCTTCCATAAGACCTTTCATCTTCCACAATTGCCTGAATCCTCTTGAGATCAAGGAAATTGGAGAATTTTTTCAGATCAAGTTCTTTAAGGCTTGAATTTCTTCTGAACAACCTATTGACCACTAAATTGCCACAAGCAGACACTCGGATTTCATATGAACCAAGGCCTGGATCTGAGATTTCTCCTGAAGCTGGTAAGAAATCACATGAATTTTCTTCTACCCAAATAAGAGCCTCCAAGCAATTAATCCGATACAAAGTTTTCAAAAAAAATGTCCACTAAACCTCCAAAGTGAGATCCTAGAGCTTTGAAACTAATTTCTTTTTCGAGAAATGCAATGATAAGTCATGAATTTCGATCCATACTCCATAACCATGTACCTGTTCTTTTCTGCTATGCTTGTCAAAATCCCATTTTTAGATTTTCACATCGAACTTGCCTATCCTTCTCCACTTTTTAAAAGCTATCTTCTTACCAAACAACCTGTTATCTTTCAAATTTTAGTAATGGCATTCATAAAAGGGTTAATCAAGCAATGTTGAGAGAGTTCTCTTTTCAAAGCTTTCGAAATTGACTTCAAGGCATCGTGAGCACAACATTTAGAGATAACAGCTGCTCCAATCTACCTCCAAAACCTCTGTTTCTTTTTTGATCCAAAAAGATCTTTTCCTTATTTCAGATACTCTATCTTTGGTGAAGAAGCCATTGCCCTTCAAAGGATAACACTGTCTTTTGAACTTTCTCTCATGATTTGATCCTCTTTGATTGCTTCAGCATGAGACTTCTTAGGAAATGAAACTTCCTCTACCCCTAAAAAATCCACCTTCCTTTTTCTTTTTTTTTAGTACAATATGTGGGGGTGGGGGATCGAACTCACAGCCTCTTTACCAACATCGACAACGAATCCTTATTTATTCAGAGAGGGGTCATACTACGAGTTCGACTTGAATTCTTGAGCCATAAAAAAAGCTTTCGTACTCTACACGTATGATGTACCACAAACCCCTCTTGTCTGATTAGAAAAAGGAACTTGCGTAGGTAGCTTAACCATTCGGCCTTCAAACCAAGTCACCTAAGAAAGTTTCATTGGCAATTTAACCTTGCAGTTCATATCTTCCACAAAAAACGAGTTGTTTTCAGACCGTAAACAACAATAGCTATTTCCTATGCAACAACTATTAATTTCCATGATGAATAAACAAAAAGATTGAACTTTCACCACACCAATAATCTTGACGGAGCAAACTTTAAACACGAACAAAACTTTAAGCACGAACCGTCTTCAAAAGGGTTGTTGGATCTGATGAACTTGAGAGGAAAGGGAAGAGCAAAATAGAGCATTTACCTTTTTAGATGCTCCCAAAAATGATTCTTTGTCTTCTCCTTGTTGCTTCTACAAAGGTTAAATTTTTTGTGTGGCACGTCCTTCATTGTAGAGTTAATACTTTGGATTGGGTTATGAGAAAGTTGTCTTTGTTGATTAGGACTGCAGTGTAGTATCCTTTGTCAGGGGACTGGAGGATCTTGATCTTCTCCTTTAGAGATGCCATTTTGCGTGCTTGGTATGGAATAGTTTTTTTTATGTTGTTTGGTTTTAGCCTTGCTCATCTTAGAGATGGTAGTGTGCTAGTGGAGGAGTTGCTCTCATTTTTGCCCTTTTGTGAGAAAGGACGTTTTCTTTGGCTTGCTGGGGTTTGTGTTATTTTGTGGGGTTTGTGGATGGAGAAAAACAATATAATTTTGAGAGGGGTGGCGAGATCTTGGGAGGAGGTTTGTTTGGTAGATTTTATGTTTCTTTTTGGGTCTTGGTGGTTGACTACTTGTGTAATTACCCATTAGGTCCTGTTTTGTTAGATTGGAGCCCATTTATTGTTTAGCTTGGCTCCTCTTGCTAGGGCTGTCTTTTTGTATGCCCTTTATTTTCTTTCATTGTTATCTCAATAAAAGCTCGGTACCTAAAAAAAAAGACTTCAAAGTATATGTGAGGCTTGAGATGCCATTTTTTCAATGAGCAATCCCCATGAATGGATTTTCCAAGTGGAACAACTGTTATAGGTGAATCACTTATCCAGGCTAAGATGCTAAGATGTAAGCAATTGTGCTGTGCATGACAGGTGAGGCATTGGCATGCTTTCTTTGGATGGAGGGACAATGATCTGTATATAATTGAGATGAGACCAAGCGGGCTTTAATATTTTGATTTGAGTTGATTAATGAGGGATTGATGTAAGAGCATTTAGCACTTCAGCAAGAAGGAAGTGTATGAGAACATATCTGATTGTTTGAAGTCTTGCGCTACACCTCTGCTACATACTCTTGACTTTGCTCTAGAAGGGAACCTTGTCAACAGTCTAAAGACTGAGGCGAAGGTAGAGCTCGTGTGTTGCCTTGTAGACATAATGGAAGTGTCCACTTGGTTAGTGTAGAGACTAAGGTTGGAGAGAATCTAATGTTCTGTATTCTCATTATTAAAGTCTATATATATAGACAAATATACAAGGTTGACCTAATCCTATAAGGAGAAGGTAAAGGACAAATTAATATTAATACAAGAATATAAAATATACTAATATCTATACTCTAACACTCCCCCTCAAGTTGGTGCATATGTGTTAATCATGCCCAAATTGTTAGACAAATAATCTATTCGTGCTCCATTCAACTTGTGTTCTATGATTTTTGATATCATTGGGATGACCTCAGAAGTTTAGATTTATTTCTTCTCAGCCATAACAAACAAACGAACTTATTTGAACAAAACGACAAAACCAGACCAAACCACCCGAACCAAACAAAACAGATGAATCAAATTCCTGGAACCAAACCGAATTAGGTGTTTTCTGAACCCAGAAACCCTAAGCGCTACCCCACGAGAACCAGAGGGGCGAAGGTGACGTGTGGCGATGGCGATTGGCGGTGAGACGAAATCCATGAACAGCAATCAGAAAACAGCAGTGCTGGTGAATCAGCAAACGTCAGCGGTCAGCGGCGGCAGCAATGGTCGGCGGCGGCGGTCAGCGGTGAGTTGTGTTGGATAGCAATGAACAAAACCCTAAGGCACAAAACCCTAATGGGCACAAAAATTTTAGAAGAAACCTAGAGCTCTGATACCATGTAGAGACTAAGAGACTAAGGTTGGAGAGAATCCAATGTTTTGTATTCTCATTATTAAAGTCTATATATATAGACAAATATACAAGGTTGACCTAATCCTATAAGGAGAAGGTAAAGGACAAATTAATATTAATACAAGAATATAAAATATACTAATATCTATACTCTAACAGTTAGGATCAGAATCTTTAATGCTCTGTTGAAGCAAGGGAGGTATACTTTGGGTAGCATTTTGGACTGGGGGATTCGTTTGCCAAGCGTACCTCCTAAACAGATTTAGGTTATAATATCTGATGCCTCACTTAAATTATTGGCAATCTCCACTAGTAGAGCTGGGGAAGTGAGTATGTAACAGTGCTCGTTTTGGCTTCTGCATATTTGGTTAATTGTAGAAATAGTAGAAGATGATTGACCATATTAGAGCTCCTTTACTTTCAAGAACTTGTATAAGTCTTATTCATGGATAGATAGAACTTCCACAGCAGCTCGTTCATGCATAACTTCCATACCAAGATTAGTATGGTTAATAATATCAGCCCAGGTATTAATTACACAACCTTGACTATCAACTACAGCTTGGTCGAAATTGAAAAACCAAAACAGGAGGGGTGGGTGGCCATAAAACAAGAAAGTCTATCGTGTTGGTTGGGAACGTGATAGGGAGGTATTATACCAATATTTTGTCCATGGAATCCATAGTGGCCAAGACTTGGTCTTACCAGTTGCCAATAGTTTGAGTTTTTGAGGTATGACTTTAGTCATGGTAGGGCAGTAGATGTTGAGTTTGGGGGTAGCTCTAGCCAACCATCACTACCACACTCTTGTAACTCATTGTTCCTTTTAGGGTTGTTCACAGTTCGTTTAAGCTTGATTTGGAGTTGAGTCGCCAGACATTGGAGTTGAACCAAAACAAACCACATTCTTTAAAATACAGATTTAACTGAAACAAATTGGAACAAGGATGAAAATTGTGCCAAATTTAACTTTCGATCAGTTCAATTTGGTTAGAGGGCGGGCAGGTTGGAAGATCACCATCGTAGAGTGAGGGATCTGTGGCAGGGGCGTTGTTGTTGTTGGGGGTGGCTTGGCAAAACGCATTGAGTGGTGTTGGCATGTACTTAAGGAGAGGGATAGGAAAAAAGAGAGAAAAGAGAGGGAGGCCATTTGGGGGTTTTATGGAGAGAGAGGGTAGAGAGGGAAGGAGAGGGAAGCCATGGAAATAAAAGTATGGACTTGCATCGACCGTACTGGCAGACTGCAAAGTGGAAATGACTGCGGCTGGGCGACCGCGGTGTAGTTGGGAGTGCTACAATAGCTTACTGAAACTATAAACTAAAACTAACATCATGAAAGAAAAGAAAAACGGATGAAAAAGGGTGGTTGATAATGTTATTATAAAATATATTAAATAAATTCACGTGAATCATGCTGGCACGCACATTGAGGCTTACACGAGGAAGATAAGAAGGTAAAGTAAAATATAACCATTCAAAAAACAAGTAATATATATTCTAACACCAAATCAAAGCGAACTGAATATTTCAATGTCAGAAAGTTATTGAACCAAACTGAATCGAACCACTAATTGACTAAACTGAAGAAATCAGTTTGGTTCGGTTTTGTCATTTCATCGGTTCTATTGTGTGCCCCTAGTTTCTTAAGCTTAATCATGCGTAGAGAAGATATGATATGTACGCAAAATCAATGTAATCAACACACTTAAATCGATAGACAAAAGAAGAAATGTGATAAGCAAAATAACAAGCTCAGTAAGAAAGAATTATGAACTATAAATCAAAGATAAAATAGACAAGGAAGATGAGTAACATCTGGGGGTAGGATTATAGTGGTACAATCCTTAAAGGATCTACCTCCAGTTTCAGTCACTATTAGTAAAATGAATTGACCAGCAAGTTACAACAATACAGAGAATAAACTATCTCTCAATCGATCTGAACAATAAAGATTAAACTAGAGCACTCACCCTTGGCTCTCACCTTTTCACTTTGATACAATTCACACACCCCCAAAGTCTCCAGAAATTCCTCACTGACTCTCGAAAATTTTGTCGAAGAAGGGTGAAGAAAATGTGCGCAAAATCAATTTTTCACTACTACAAGTGGTGATCATGTAACGTAACATAATTTGTTATGCCTATCTGGTGCCTGCATTGATTAGGTTGGGTCATCAGTAGCAGTAGGTGAGCTCAGCAAGTGTCGATGGTGACAATCTAGTCAAAGACACTGTGAATATGAAGGCTCTTATTAATCCATAAGCTATCAAGAAACTAATCTGGCATACCCACCACCAAATTGGTAGATAGCTTCTCAGTTACCCTTTGTGTACAAGTCCCATCTTCACCTTCCTCTTGAAGTAGAATGATCTTAAGCTTCTTATTCTTACACCTGTGCCCCATTGAATACTTCTCACAATGAAAATAGAGCCCCTTTTCCTTTTCCTCTCGACTTTGTAGCTTTGCATCCATCAATCTCTTGCCTGATGTGTAGCCACATACTCAGTCTATCGTGTGATTCGTGTGATAGATGTTTGGGTTGGTGAATATTCAGTGAATTGGCCCATGTTTTGCTTGGTCGGCCCTTTTCCTATTTCAATAATTACTTTTGGTCTTCTACTAGCTACACCCACCTCCATTGTTATCTGTTACCTCCAAATCCATTGGCTTATATATTCTCAGCTCATCCTATATCTGTATTCAACCCATTCTTGAAGTTTCCTGCCAGTGCGTCCAACCAATGACACTGGCACAGCCATTGTCACAAACGTATTTCAATATTTTCATGTCTCTATCCTATCGGAAGGCAAATAAACACTTGTAAGATCACATGTCTCCGCTTATCGGAAGGCAAATAGACACTTGTAAGATCTCCCCTCCTGCAATAACGGGAACAAATCGAGGAGAACAAGCTTGAACTTTACCTGTAAATGTTTTTTCCAAATATGCTCCTGATAGGCCCCAGTTGGCCTACTTGTTCACAATTTAATTAAAAACGCAGGAAGAACTCAAAATGAACAATATTTCTTAGCTCTTCGAGATGAGCACTCTCCTTCCTCAAAGAAGTCTCTCTAAGGCGGCCTTAACACAAGACTAATCCGATAAAATTTCCCTAGTGGTTACTCACCCTCTTAAATATCCCTTCCTCACGAGCTAGTGTCACGACCACCTATTATTACAAAATTCGGGGCCAACTCTATGCATGCACTCTCACAGAAAAACTATCACGTCCCTCATTCTCTTTTTTGCTTTTCTTCTTCTGGATATAAATTAATTGTAGGCTGGCGAGTTCAGGTTCCCATCAGCTCCACGTCTTGAGAAGGCATGTAATTAGCTGGTGTTAGATTAGATTTACTTGAACATGATGTTTGTAATTATTCTAATTGGTGCTTGATGCAAAATGAAACGCAGAAATGATGTGTTCCAAATCAAGCAGGCTACCACCCTCGATTCACATCCTTGAACTCATTAGCAAGATTAAACCAAAAATTCTTCTGAATTATCTTAGAGTACATCCAGCTTCAATTAACTTGTATATGCTCAAATCTGGACAAAATCTTTTGTTGAATAGCTGTTCTAATTTATTTTGTGGGACATTAATATATTTGTAAAACTGAATTTCTATCTCAATTTTTAACATGCACTGCACCAAGATTTTCAACTGTCGCTATAAATTATTAGAAGACCGACATACTTATAATTTTACTATTCACATGTTTGTACTTTTTATCGATACACACTGAAACTCCAGATATTTAAACAAATTTTATACCGTAAGTTCAATAAATAGAATAGTGCATGTTAGAAATCAATACATTATTGTGATTGGTTCCTAATCTTTGCCCTGCACCAGCAATGAATGCATATGAAAAATAAGAATTTTTATATAGAAAAAATGTGTTACACAGGCACATACCACTCCAGTCATTACATCATTAGACTGATATTATGTTACTGTTACTTATCATTGTCTACTGAATAGCTCACTTCTTTCCATTATTTATCTGAATGCAGATGAGAGACTTAATGATATCGTCGGAAGTGCTTATTATGTTGCTCCTGAAGTGCTTCATAGATCTTACACTCTGGAAGCAGACATATGGAGCATTGGGGTCATCACCTATATTTTATTATGTGGAAGTCGGCCATTCTGGGCAAGAACGGAATCAGGAATTTTCCGTGCAGTTCTAAGAGCAGATCCTAATTTTGATGATATACCATGGCCTTCGGTGTCTCCCGAGGCGAAAGACTTTGTGAAAAGGCTCCTCAACAAAGATTACAGAAAGAGAATGACTGCAGTCCAGGCTCTCAGTACGTTTTTTCCTTTTTATGTCCTTGCTTTCTCTCTGAAGCCATTACATTATAAACTAACGGGTCTGGAATTTGCTTATTATCTGTTTTTTTTTAATTATTTATTTTTATTTTTAAATTTTAGCTAAGATTACATGTTTAGCTTGGCTTATGTCTTAATAGGTTTTGGAACTAAAAATAATATCTAATAGGTTGTTGGACTTTCAATTGTTTTAACCTATTTGACATGAAATTGAAAGGTCAAGGTCCTGTTTGACAAAAAATTAAATTTGTGTCTTATGTCTAGGAATTTCGAAATATGTTGAATAGGTTAGATACCTAGTAGATACCAGATTGAAAGTGCATGAACTTATTAAATACTTTTAATGTTCGGACTAAAATTGTGATTTATAACCTTGAATTTTCTATTATTGTTTTTACCTTCCTTTTGTTTGAGGAACATATTCAAAGGAGTCATTTTACTTCAATTGTTTCATCCTTGTATCTATCAAAATGAAAAAAAAGTACTTAAACAAACGTCATTTATTGTTTCAAACTCTTTTTATTTTGGCCAAGATGATGTAATTAGATATATTTTTATAGTTTACTCTTTCAAGCTTTGGAAGCGTTGAATATACTCTCTTTGCAGTGCATCCATGGTTGCGGGACGATAGTCGTCCTATTCCTTTAGATATATTGATCTATAAGTTGGTGAAGTCATACCTACATGCTACTCCTTTCAAACGTGCAGCATTGAAGGTAAAAGATTCTTCTTCCTTATTTCGTTCTCTCTCTCAGTCTCTCTTTCGACAAATTTGGTTCCTATGCACAAAAATTAGGTTAAATTAAGTTTCAACTTAGTCTTTATAATTAGCGCTTGGTTTCAATTTGGTTTTCATAGCTTTGATTTGGTCTCTATGGTTTGTTTAAGCCTTACAATTAGTCCCTAAACTATCTTTTATTCACCTAGAAAATCCACCAATGTCCTTTTATTTTTTACTCAGCCTAAACTCTAATATAGTCAAATTGAAAACATCAGCTCATAGCCACGTAATAAAGATGTGTCAATATTTTAGATGACGTAAATGCTTTGTGAGATTTGAATAAACCATAAAATTGAAACATTTAAAAATATAAGGATCAAATTGAAACTAAGTTAAACCATAAGGACTAAATTGAAAATTTTAAAACCATAGGGATCAAATTTCCAATTCAACTTCTAAATAATAATCTTATTTCCTTAATTGAATTTCATCCTGGCTTGTCTATGTAGTAAGTCGTATTTGCAATCTTATTGTATGGGTTTTGAAAGATTTATTTTCAGTAAGTTAATGAGTTGGAAGTGATACTCTTGAGCGATAATTTAAAATCCTTCAATCATGAACATGACATCCTTCCATTTCAGGCTCTCTCAAAAGCTTTGACAGAGAACGAACTCTTTTATCTTAGAGCTCAGTTTGCGTTATTGGAACCAAATAAAGATGGGCGTGTTGGTCTTGATAACTTCAAAATTGTCAGTGTTTCTCCTGACCTTGCTTTTGTTTTTGTAGAGTCATCCCTTCCTTGCTATATTTGGTATGATTTCTAAACTCTTTACTATAGGCTCTAATGCGGAACGCAACAGATGCTATGAGGGAGTCGAGGGTTCATGAAATCGTAAATCTGGTACGGTTCTTTTCACTGGCTACTTCTCTTCATGCTAGATACGCCACTAATTACTTCTCTTTAGTAGATAAATAACTTATGATTTTGAGTCAGAAGTGCATGCATATCCCATTAGTTTAAATTCTTTCCATACTTTTTGTTTTGATTGATCTATTTCAATTTCTCTCAAGTTATTATTTTGCATTTAACAAACATTTGAGACCATTGCAAAAACTAATCCAAGGATCAAAACCGAACCTTTTGAAATATGTGGGTTAAGGATGGAATAAGTATGAAAGTTCATGTAATAAGGTAGGATTAAAACTTAAATTTGAAATTTGTTAATATCTACCAAAAAAATTTGTAAACTTTTTTTCAGCTGGAGCCTCTTGCCTTCAGAAGAATGGACTTTGAGGAGTTCTGTGCTGCTGCAATCAGCACTCATCAATTGGAAGCTCTTGACCGGTGGGAGCAGATAGCCTGCGTGGCCTTTGAGCATTTCGAGCACGAGGGCAACCGTGTGATATCCGTAGAAGAATTAGCGAGGGTTCGTATACATGAATAAATTTGATCTGAACAATATTTTCTCAAACTCAAATGGTTCTCTTACTGAAATGTCTGTGTGTGTGATTACAGGAATTGAACCTTGGTTCTTCAGCATATTCTATCCTTAAAGATTGGATTCGAGGAGATGGAAAGCTTAGTTTTCTTGGGTATACAAAGTTCTTACATGGTGTCACACTTCGTAGCTCAAATACGAGACACCATTAGTCTTTTTTTCCCCCTTTTTTTGCAGTCTTCATTATATATTCAGTTGAAAATTGGTGAGTTCTTATACATTTTAGGGGCACTGCAGATTTTTTTTTTCTTTTTTTCTTTTTTGCCTCCTTTGTGGGGGTGGAAATGTGTATAAAATTGAATGTTTTAGTGAAGGCAGTTTGGAAGGGATTGTTGAGTCCACATATAATATATCATCAAAAGCTACCGTTGCTCCACAATTCCTTAGCTCTATTCTCTTTCGTGAGCACATTTTATGAGTAATGAAGGCCTCTGATATAATTGTCATTCTTTTGTAATAAATTTGATATTCAGTATTTTTTATTTTATTTTATTTTTTGAAGAATTATATAAACCAGTCGTAATCTATAAGGACCGTCGAACTCATGAATTTTCAAGTTGATCAATCATCTCCTCAAACTTGTAAAATTTTTGAATTAAATTCAACATGGTTAGTGATGGACTGCAAAGTGCACAGACCACTCTTAAACTACAAGAAGTTATATGTTTTGAAATTTAGAATTATTATCGTTTAACTAATTCTTTTTGACTCTATAAAATTTTGAAACTAGAATATTGACATTAAAAATATTATTTTAAATGCAATAACTACAGTCAAGTACGTAACTCTAAAAAGATGGATGAGAAATCTCAGTATGAAGAAAGTTAGAAAAGTGCGTATCCGCCCTCGTAGAGGTGATGAAGCTCAGGGAGACTCACTCATAGGAAGTTCTGGGGGCATTTCAGAAGGAGGTAAATGGAAATTTTTCTTATCGGGATATGGTTATAGAAGATCGACCTTAATAATCAAGGTTCTTGGTAAGCAATTTGGGTACCAATTCCTCCTTCGAAGGTTAATTGCTATTTGGCATCCGAAAGGAGAAATTAAGCTGATCAGTGGATAACTGATGAGGATTCTTTGAAAGCTTTGGCTTTGAATCACTTCCAGAATTTGTATGGAAGTTTAGATGTGGGTAAGAATTTAAGTACCAAGGTTACATTTTCTCTTTTACCAGCAGAAGCAATTTCTAAGTTAAACTAGTGAGGTGTCATTAGAGGAGGTCCGAAAGGCTATATTCTTGATGGGAGCCTTCAAATGGTCGGGACCAGATGAGTTTCAGGCTGTTTTTTATCAACATAACTGGACCACTGTTGCCCCATCGATTTTGGCTTGTGTAAAGAATATCATTGACAAAGGCGAATCTATTAAGGTTGAAAATCCCAAATCTATATTACAGTTTAGTCCCATTAGCCTATGCAATGTATCTTATAAAATCATCACAAAGGTTATCTTACTTAGATTACGTGAGTTCATAGGGAAGATAGTCTCCCCCAATCAAGCCAGCTTTGTCCCTGTCCGTCATATTGAAGATAATATTATCATTGGACAAAAACTAATCCATACTATGGACAGACTTAAAAAGGGCAAAGAAATTTATGCTGGCTAAAGTAGATCTAGAGAAAGCCTATGATAGGATTTCTTTGAATTTTTTTTGGAGGAAACTCTTGCTATGATAGGCATACCGACTAATCTAACAAATGTAATTATGGATTGTGTAATGATAACTCTCCAACAGAAAGTTAGTTGCGTAAGAATTTCATATAAATCAGCTAAGGATAGCGTCACTAACACCCAATCTACACTGATTTTGTGCAAAGAATGTTATAAATTCACTATCCTCCTTATTTTTTGCTGATAATGCTGAGAGATATGAAGAATAACCTAATTTTGAATGTTTTGATGCAGCATTGTTCAGTTGATGCTGTAGCATTAAAATAAAAAATGCAGAAAAGACAGAGCTGACAGTGACAAATTTTTTACTCGAGAATGTACTGCAATAAAACGCAGATTCATCTTAAATTGAGTAGGGGCCCGTTTTATTCATTTTGGTTGCCCTAAAATTGAGGAGGGGTATAAACGCTTGCATTCAAAGTTGCATCCATTAATTCTTCATCAAACCTTAGAGATAACAAGACAAGAGAGGAGGAAAGACACTTGGAGAGGAACCCGAAGAAGACAACAAAGGGAGCTGATACAGTGAAGGACTGTTGGTTTTTCTTCATTTCCTTATTCTTTTGTACTCTTTAGTGCACGAGTTTTGTATTTTCTCCTTCCCTTTTTTGTATGACATTGCATAGCTAAGTTCCTACTGTAAGGGGAGGATGTTGTGAACTTATTTTGGGCTGCTTTGGCTTTGATGATGATATATATACTGAGTTGAAGTTATTTTTAACGTTTGATTTTCAATGTGCTTGGCCAACATATTGAAATACCTCTTTATTTGCTCTTGGAAAATTGTAATAAGGAGTGTTTGACTTTAACTCATGCTAGATCTACTTGAGTTTACAACGTGGTACTTAGGAATAAGGCTCACCTAGTAAGGTTATAAACTGTGCTGATATGCTATCATGTTTACCTTAAAATGTAATAGCAGAAAATCTGGGAAATCTGGGAAGATTCCATGTTTGTTTGGCTAGTATATTACATTGTTAATGTCAGTATTGTTTACGTGAGCCCAGAAGAAGTCACATAAACTCTTCCCCCTTACACTTGTTACATTAGTAGTTAACCCCCATTAAGCTCATTTTGCTCTATAACCAGAGCGATTTTACTTGTTCTATTGACTTGTTTTCTTACTTAGTGAATGTTTTTTGCACTATTTCGTTTTAGTTTCATAGGCCACCTTATTAAACATATTTTAGTTAAGTTGTTTGTTTTTTTAAGTAAAATATTGAAGTGTTTAGTTCAATCCCTGTGGATATGACCTTTTTATCACTTACTACAACAGTTGTGTACACTTGCACATAAGGGTTCTAAATCGTACAATAAGTTTTTGGCACCGTTGCCGAGGATTGATTTTACTTTACACTTTATATTTTTGCTTAAGAAAAACTGTGCTACAAAAGTTTCTTTTAACTACAGTTTGGTGAATCTGGAAGGTGAACACATGATCTACAAGGATTGGAATATCTACTTGACAACAAGATAGATCGTACTTTTCATTGCAGAAGAAGAGCACAACAAGTAGAAGTTGGCTATATGGATCTGTTGGGTGTGCTGCCTTAAACTCATAGTTTGTATTTATGAAAAAACAAATTTATATTCAATAAAGTTTTATTCAATCAATTTGTTGTTGAATTCATAGCAATGCATTGCCCAAATCCAATAAACTAAACATCCAAGGTTATTATCATGTAACCAGGACAATATATATACTAGGTATATATTTGATATATCCTCGATATACAAGTGGACAATGTCCCCAGAATAACTTGAAGGCTCTATATTATATGGATAATGCTGGGTACTTTATCCTGACAACATTATGGATACGGCCCACTTTGTAAATGTTACAGACAACCCGATCCAGGTAGTTCGTGTGGAGACATACGAATGGGGGTATCCTATACAATGAGTTTGTATAAGACCGAACCACGAAATAGTGAATTTCATAGGATGATCAAGAAACTCATTCTCAATTCTGAGTGAGTTATGGACTCTTGCCCGTATGGGTGAGAGTGCCCAAGATGCCGACTCAATATTCCTACCATTTTAGGGACGAGGCCGAGTGGGGAGCTGGGAACGTAACTTCACAAGATAGAATTCACTCTTCACCGACCTTAGGGGAGTAGATGAGTGTTATCTTAAATGCTGACTCAGGGACTTGAACAAGGGGCCCCACCCTCTCATTAGCCCAAGAGAGACTTCTAGTTATTGGTCAAACCATAATCGGGTTGTTCATTAGAGGAGTAGTTGTATTTAAGTAGTAAGATGTAACTCAGGGGTAAAATGGTGATTTGACCCCGTATGAGCACTCGTGAAGGATTAACTTGTCATTAATGGTTATATATCCATGGACACGAAAATATTCTGCAGTGAGAAGAGTGCAGTTGCGGGTCTTTAGTGGAGTTTCCCATAGTTAACGAATATTGATTAACTCGATTAATGAGTTTGACTGATTAATCTCGTATCGCTGGAGCTTCTGATTTATAGGTCCCCTTGCTAGCTCACAACAAGTAAAACGAGTATAAAGAATTATGAAATAATTTGAAATGTTCAAATTACATAAGGGAATGTATATAATGTATATTGATACGTTATATGTAAATATATATTAATTTTGGATAATGATTCAAAATTAATTATGAGAGAAATTATTTGAATGAGATTCAAATAAAAATTAATATGAATAGGATTCATATTAAAACTATAGGTTAAAAATAATGTGCATAAGACGTACATTACAACTATAAGTTATACAAGAGAAATGCTTTAGGGTATGATTTTATTTTGGTAATAAATAATTAAATGTTAATTGTTTATTAATATATATATTTAATTAACTAATTGTTAATTAGATTAATAATTAAAATTAATTATTTATATATTATTAATTATTAATATTAATTTAATTAGATAATTAAAATAAAAACTCCGCTGCAAAATTGCAAGAACAGAACAGAACTGTGCAAAAACAGAAGCTACATGACGTAGGGCAGTTTTGTTTTGGGCAGAAATGTTGTGCAAAAACAGAACTGTGGTCCAAGGAAACATCTCTCCCAACATTTCTCTTGAAAAAAAAAATCTCTCTCTCAATCAATTCCTTTTGCTTCCAAATTGTTGCTCCCACAAGCACATCATCACCGAAGACATAGCAAGGAAGATCGGTGGTACTAACAGATTCATTGGAGAATATTTGAAGAAATGTTCTTCAAAAAGTAAGTTATTTTCCCTTATATTTCATTTTTTATGTTGTGGGTTTTTGTTCTTCAAAAATTTAAGAACACGTTCATCGTTTCCACTACGGGATTTACATCCCTTTCAGGATCAACTACCGAGAACTCCTAACCCTGTGGTTCCTTATCCAAAAGTTGAAGGAATTGATAGAGGAGAGGTGGTTGTACCAGCTATTCCTCCTCTTAATGCCATTTTTGTTGGCTAATGATGGAGAAAAGGCAGTTAGAAGCCGATGTTGCTCCTGCATTTCATGGTTTTCATCTGGTTATAACATAACCAGAAATAGAGGCTGAAAGGCTTGAGTTGAAACTTGTCATGTTCCAAATGCTCCAAACTGTTGGACAATTTCATGAGCATGCGTCTGAGGACCCCTGCTTACACTTGAGGTACTTTTTAGAAGTAGGTGATTCATTTAAAATGCTAGGAGTATCTAAAGAAGCACTGAGGTTGAAGTTGTTTCCTTACTCGCTGAGAGATAGGGCTAGAAACTGGTTCAAATCTATACCAGCTGAATCAATTAACTTCTTGAAATGATCTTACTGAAAAATTC